ACCGAACTCAAGCGCTGCTGTTCCAGGTTTAAAATGGCGTTTTTCTCCTCCGCAGACGAGTGTGTCCCCGGCGAGACGGAGGGAACGCCGCAGATCACGGTGCGTCAGAATCCAGCCCCCCGCCCTGCGCCCTCTCCAGTCCGCCCCACCCGCAGCCGGGGGCGTTTTGACCGGAGCGATTCGGCCAGGTTTCCCCACCACCACCCCCACCCCCAGACTGGATCTGAACCTGCCACCTTCCCGATACGAGCCTGGCCACACGGGTTTTCACGACGCAGTTATTCAGCAAGGCCGATAAGCCCTTACCGGGGTCTGCCATGTAGACGGCAGAGCTTACTTCTTTGGTAACATGGGGGGGAAAAAAATGTGAAACTGTACTTTCATGAGTCCTCTGGCCTGTGTTAGCCCACGTCACCACCCCTTCCATTATCAGCTCACTTTGGTCCCTCCCAGTCCAGGGCGGCAGGGGAGGCTGGAGCCTGTCCTGGCAGGACACACCCTGGATGGGAAGCCAGGCCATCAGAGGGCGCGCACACACACCTAGGGACCATTTTCCCAGAAGCCCACTAACCCACCAGCGTGGTCTTTGGGCTGCGAGAGGAAACAAACACGGGGAGAACATACAAACTCCACACAGACAGCACCCCAGGAATTCAACCGAGGGCACCAGAGCTGCATGGCAACATGACTAACCCCCCAGATCCCAGCCCACAGAAACAGGGAGATTCCCGGTGGGATCCCCCAGGCATCAGGCGCAGCCCTCTCTTTCCAGAGCAGCTCCAGGGTGGGGGGGGCCCGGGGGCCCTCAGCAGTGGCCCAGTGTGACCCCCGCGCTTCCCCTCTGCTTGTCTCCCGTCTCCAGAGAGCACGGAGGGACACTGTTCTGGACGCAGGCGACGAAGGGTCAGGAACGGGAGAGCTCGCCCAGTTCTGGGATTCAGGTGAGGGAGACGCAGTGCAGGCCCACGCGCAGTGCTGGGGTGGGGTGGGAGATCTCTGGGTAGAAAGCCGGGCCACGGTTGTTAGGGGTGCTGGTGGACCAGTTTGGTGACCAAGGTGACGTCCTCAGGATGACCTTTCAACCGATTTATTCCCAGATGAGCCGCGGGAAAATGATCTAGTCACTGAAGATCCCAGGGCCCTGCTGGTAAGAGAGTTAGCCAAGATGCCCCCGCCAAATTCCGCTCCGGCCTGAAAATCCGGCCTCACTAAATTCCCACTTTAATTGAACTGGTGCAGCAGTTTCTCCATCCCCCCCCCGACCTTCAGTGCAAATTCCCAATGAAATGCTGGATGGGATCTTTCCCCCTTGGGGGGGAATTTCTCTGGCTCACTTCACCTAGATGGGAGCTACGCGGCAGAGATGGATGAAGTGGGGGGTGAGGGGTCCCCCTCCTCTGTTTCTGGGGCAGAACAGTTCTCTTCAAAACGCAACCATCGCGATCGAGAACCTGGTGTCCGTTTTCCTGCCGGACGAACCCCTGAAAGAGGCCTCCTGTCGGCACAGCACAGTGCAGTAAAGCACGGTGAAGCAGTAGACCGTGGCGATTGCAAGGCAGTCGCGGCAGGACAGGCAGGACGACGCAGGGCCGAATCTGGCCCCGGCATAATAATTAATCATTAATAATAATTGCTTACACTTATATAGCGCTTTTCTGGACACTCCACTCAAAGCACTTTAGAGGTAATGGGGATCCCCTCCACCACCACCAGTGTGCAGCCCCACCTGGATGATGCGACGGCAGCCATAGTGCGCCAGAACGCTCACCACACACCAGCTCTCAGTGGGGAGGAGAGCAGAGTAATGTAGCCAATTCATAGAGGGGGATAATAAGGAGGCCATGATTGGTAAGGGCCAATTGGAAATTTTGGCCAGGACACCAGGATACCCCCCTGAGGCACGCCTCTGCCCTTCCTCTCCCCCTCAGAGTCCTGCAAGCTGGCTCCGGACGCCGGCCCCTGCCTGGGCTACATGACGCGCTTCCACTACAACTCCTCCCTCATGGCCTGTCAGTCCTTCGGCTACGGGGGCTGCCTGGGGAACGGCAACAACTTCGTGACCGAGAAGGAGTGCCTGCAGAGCTGCCGCACGGAGGGTGAGGGGCGGGGCGAGGGGCGGGGCAAGGGGTGGGGCAGGGGGCGGGGTTCGGACCTCACAGCGGCCTCCTCGCTGGCATGTCTGCGAAAGCACCTGCCCGTGTGTTTTCACAGACCCCGTCAGTAAGGAGCGATTTCTCCCTGTTCCCCAAACTCGGGGGCTTCATCCCCAGAATGTTCAACTCTGAAATATCTGATGCCGAAAAACTATTTGGCCGCAGTGAAGAGGAGAGATACCGCGCCTCGTCTCGTGTCAGCCTGCTCTTCCGTCTCTTTAATTCATCGTCTTTTCTTTCCTCTCCGTCTCTGTCCTATCTGTCGGTCGTCTCGCTGTCACCAATCGAATCAACCCCTCCCTCCTCTCCAGTTGAAACGTCATTAGCCCCTGGGGCGAAACAACCAATCAGACGAACGTCTCCCAACAAAAAATACTGCACAATTAACCAACCCGATCCGACCTCTCTATCTGCTCTCTTGTCTCCCGTTTCCCAAATCCAATCCCATCTCCTATTTCCCCCTCCTCTCCCTGTCTCCCATCTCTCCAATCTGATCCATCTCTCCCACTCTCCCATTCCCCTGTTCCTTCCCTCCTCTCCTTCCTCTCCGTGCTCCGACTCCCCGTGTCTCCCAGCGGCCTGCCGCCTGCCGATGGACCCGGGTCCCTGCTTCGCCAGCGTCCAGCTCTGGGCCTTCGACTCCGACAGCGGGAAGTGCGTACCCTTCAAGTACGGCGGCTGCCAGGGCAACGGCAACAAGTTCTACACCCAGAAGGAGTGCGAGGAGTACTGCGGGGCCACGAAGGACGGTAAGAGAGACGGAAGGCGATGTCCAGCCCGGTGTCCAGCGCGGGCAGCTCTCCGGAACCATGTCTGGGAACTGGGCCGAAAGCAAATAGCCGAAACCTCAAGAGCAGAGCAGAACACGAGGCAGCAGGGTTCTCGCACTTCCTGTAGTAATAATAATAATAGCTTACACTTATATAGCGCTTTTCTGGGCACTCCACTCAAAGCGCTTTACAGGTAATGGGGAATCCCACTACGGGAATCCCACTACCACCACCAGTGTGCAGCCCCACCTGGATGATGCGACGGCAGCCATAGTGCGCCAGAACTATGTAGTGTGGGTTGTCGTCTCTTCCACATCTTCCTCTTTGAACACTAGGGGGAGACAGACCTCCGCCCATCCATTTTCTATCTGCTTCAGCCAGTCCAGGATCAAGGGAGAGCTTGATCGGCACGCAACGGGTACACCCTGGCCAGGAGGCCAGTCCATCACAGGGCAGACAGACAGACACCTCACACCGGGGCACCAGGGCCAATTTTCCTAGAACTCAATTCACCGATCTGCTTTTGTCCTTGGACTCACGTCAACACGAGGAGAACATACAAACTCCACACAGACAGCACCCCAGGTCCAGCACTGCACAGAGAGCCTCGGCACTGTGAGTCAGCAGTGCCGAGACAGAACTTAGCTTTGGCTAAACCACAGCTGCAGATTTTCATATTAAAAGACCAGACATAAGGTAAATGTTGTAGCACCTATTAACTTAATCGTCACTTTTCTCAGCACCACAACCTCCCCCCCAAGATCCTTGGGCTGGAAACAGGAGCCAATTTATCTTCCCAATAAGACAATAACCAGATAGAGATCAGGAGCGCTTAGATTTGCCGGAACTCCAAACCAAGCAGACTTGCAATACGATATAAAGACGTCTAGAATTTACAGTACATGTAGACACGTAACGTCAAACACCTCACAGATTAATGGCCATAATAATAATAATTGCTTACACTTATATAGCAGTTTTCTGGACACACCACTCAAAGCGCTTTATAGGTAATGGGGACCCCCCTCAACCACCACCAGTGTGCAGCCCCACCTGGATGATGTGACGGCAGCCATAGTGCGCCAGAACGCTCCCCACACACCAGCTCTCAGTGGGGAGGAGAGAAGAGTAAATATCTATATCTATAATAGATCTATTACCATCAGTCACAGAAGTCACAAAGGCATTAGTGGCAGCTCGTTGGTATCATGTTCAGTGACATGGTCATTACAGCAACTGTCTGTGTGGAGTCTGCATAGTCTGGTTCCGGCCAGCCTTCTAAAGACATGCTCTCTAGGTTATCTGGGGTTTCTATGTTGTCTCTGTGTGCTGTGTGCACACCGCACAATAACCAGACATAGTGTTCAGGGGACTTTCCTTGGATAGACTCTGGGTTGTCTGTACCCCTCCCTGGAATAAGCAGCTTTCTGATAAAGTACGCCTGGACAGAAGCCTTTCCTTTTACTTGGTGAGAAACAGGATTCACCAGTGATGCCACACTTTACCACCAGGTGGCACGCACGAGTCTCTTACTCACAGGAGCCAACAGGTGCCAGTCAGGAAAGGACACACTCACACTAGCAACAACGTCCAAATTCACCGTGACCTCTTCCAGTATGAAATCCCGTAATTGCAACAGCTCAGTCACAAAACGCGTTTCCGTGCTTTGCAAAACATTTCTTTTTTCACGCTCGGGAACACAATATTAGCGCACAAAGTCGACAGACAGCTCAGGCGACACGTTACTATCCTTTAATCGTCTGATCATGCATCAGCATCGCATAGCTGTTCGCCTTCGCCTCTGAAGCATCCAGCCTGCCTTTCACCGTAAGCCTGATATTCCCCGTGTGTCTTTCAGGGGAGGAGGAGTTCCTGGGCCTGCCCAAAAAGAACTGAGCGAGCTGTGTCACGACGGGCCGGAGTCACAGACCACACCGCCCCCCCGCCCCCGCTCCTCAAGATCACAGATGGCAGTTCTCAGATAGACGTTACCTAATTCATCCCTCTCACTGCCCACTTTTAATCTCATCCCTCCCAACACCTCTAAGCCTTGCCTCTGGGTACGGGCTACCCCCCCGTCAAAGAACAAGGGTTAAACAAGGCCTCAACTAAATGAACATCTTCAACCCCCTCTTGCCACACCTAAATTACCAACACCCACAGCAGTGCTCAGGTGGATCTAACTGTCTACACCTTGGGCCAACAGAACCCCCCCCCCCAAATCAGGTAGAGCACAGAACCAAGCAGGAGGAAGTCTGGTTTAACCCAGGCCTACGCTGAGTATACAACATACCCTGTGAGTCACACGCTTGGATGGGACTGTTTGATGTTTCGGCGCCAACGTTGAACTGAAGACTCAGACCAAACATGCACAGCTCCAATAAACTACTTTAAAGCACTGTCTTCTGGACCTTTTTCCCCCAACCAATTAAAACAGCCGATGAGCCTGTACGCAAGGGGCAGACATGAGAGAAGCTGACCTGCTCACCCTCGGGCCTGTGCTTCCGGGGAGACTGGAACAGCCTTCCAGACCTAATAGGACCAGCGGCCCCAGCAGGGCTGCAGCTCTGGGTCTCTCGGTTCCGAGAGCCACACACAGGGGGTTAGTGAAGTGAACAGGGGGTCAAGCCAAGCGGGATATGAGGGACTCTTCCACATGTCGGAACGAGCTGGGTGGGGTGAAAATCATATTTTTGGGGGGTACCTCCAAGCCCTCGCCCCCTGCGGGTGTGTTGTGCAGCACTCCTACCTGCGCCGGACCACTGGGACCCGCCGCCATCTTCCTCTTCATCCCCGTCTTCCAGCATGTCTTACTGGTCCGCCCGCTTTCTTGTCCCGCGGGTGACAGGAATAAAGCCGGCGCCAGTTCCGTATTTGTTTACTTTTCTCGCCGGATACGAGAGAAACGGCTTATCTGAGGGGCCCCGACGGCGTTGCGGCTCGTTGGCGCCATTTGAGGGAGAAAATAAACGCCCGTATTTTCCTCTCCGACTTCAGGTGCGCTTTGCGCTCCCAGAATCGCACTTCCTTCTCGCATGGCTCTGCACCGAGCGCCTTCATATTTTGTACAACAAATATAACAAACACCTATGAGGAGGGGAAACAGGTGAAAAGGGGATATCAGGAGGAGGAAGTGAGGCGACGGAAACAATTTACTGTGACACGGCTCAGAACTGGTGCAGCACTGACAATCTTCCCCGCAGTATTTCCTTTCACTGCGCTTTAGTTACTGTTAAATCGGAGTTTTAAAGGAGAGGGTCCGTCCGTCTGAAACACCTCTTGCTGTTTTATTTTTAAAAAGATTTCGTCGATAGTTCTGGCAAATCTAGGGTTGAATACATTGGGGGCTGAGTTGCTGTCTGGGAATGTCTAAATCCGACTTTTTCCCGGAGAAAAAGCTCGTCTCCAGTCTGGAATTTGTACTTTTCGCCCTGAGTCATACCATTCCGAATAGACACAAATACGAAGAGTGTTTTTTTTTTTCGGTAGAGATGTTTGGGTAGCACGTTACCCGCGGCGTCACTTTGGTGGAGGGATCTTATACCAGATGTATCAACGCTGAGAAAGTCATTTTTAAAAACATTCCCAAACAACGTGGAATCTTCTCCAGAAATGGTGTACCTTTAAAAATAAATCCTCACCCGCGTCTGTTTCTGCGGCTCTGGGGCCGGGCAGTGCCCTGGCCTCCTGGCTTGTCCTGTCTATCCGAGCAGTAAACGCTGGGGGGCGCTACTGGTTAATTCAAGGGCCGCCCGGCTTCTCCCCCTCACCTGCGCCTCGCTGCTCCGAGCTGGTGATGCCGAGAACAGCCGGAAATGGGGAGCTAATGAGTTTTTCCTGTGACCCCCTCCGCACTCGGGACGTCTTATTTCAGGACTGTCGCTGCAGGGAGAGAAAGTCAGCACTGAGTCTTGATTTGTGGGTATTCGTGGGTATCCACAGTGCCTGCCAGGGACACGGAGACCCCACAGAGCGCTCGCATGTCCTTAGTTACACCCCCACAAGAGGACCAGGAACTCTGATTTACAGTGCAAACGTTGACACCATGCATTGCAACAACAACAACAACAAAAAAACCCCAACGTTTTATTTTAAGATCAATAGCAGATTGAATGTTTAGATATATATTCCTCTCCTCGTGTGGAGCCACGGCGTTAGGGCGCCATCTTGCGGCGGGGCGTGTGCGAGGAGCAGAGGATGTCAAAGATTCCGTCATTCTGGAAAAACCCGTTTTCCTCCGCTCTCCTGGTGTGTGTGTGTGTGTACACACACACCAGAGACGGGAGGGCGAGATCGAGGTGACAAAGGAATTCTTTCCAGACCAGACACCTCAATCCGTGCATTATTTTTTCATTTAAATTCGATTAGAAATGTACAGAATCAAAAGGCAAGACCTACAATGAAAATATCTAATAAGTATCATTTTTAGTTTTTACAATTGTGAATTCCTCTGGCTTTGAAGGACTATTTCTGTACATATTTCATTATTCTGTGTCCTTTTTGTATTTCTGGTGTTTAAATACATTTTTTTTAAATCAATCCGTGCATTATAGTCGTATCCGATTAGCCTGTCCTGCAGCAGAGCCGCGGAGAGGGGAGTTGCACTGTAGCTGGTACCCAGTTCATCCTGCATCAGGGCCTGACCAGCCCGACCTTCCAGGTAGCAGAAATTAACATTCTTATCCTCTCTTTAGAGGTTTATAACCTTCCCCAAAGAAAAGTACAAGCGTGGAAAACACCACCCCTACTTACTATCTAAATAATACATAATATTGCTTGTGTCCTAGCTGAACACCCGTTTCTATTGATTTGTTTATTGGCAGGCGTATTAACAAACACGTACTCATTTGATTTTGATTTGAATGACCGCATAACGTCTAAACAACCTTTTTTTGGTCCGAAACAACTGCAGGGTCTCACGTCACGGCTTCAAGTCTCATTAGTACGATTGCGATCCTAAATTAACCCCCCTCCCAGACAAACACAGACACACACAAGCAAACGAAGTATTGAGCCTGTCGACTTCAGCGCTGGCTTCAGGAAGACGCAGCTAAGTTGGCTCTCTGGCCAGAGGTCACTTGGGTGTCCAGAGACCTTGTGTTTCCCATCAGGTTGCAGTTTGTCCTGCTGCGCGGGTGTTAGTGTGTAAGTAATAAAACTGGTAGGTTTCAACGGTTCAAAACACACCGCTGATAAGGCGTCTAGGCCGTCCGAAAGCGCAAGGGCCTTTTTCTGTACAAACTGGGAAGACATTGCAGACGAAGACGGGAGCTTCTCCGATTTCACGAATTTCTCATCGAGGGCTTGCGCTCCGTCTCGGTCCGATACCGCACGGCTGTCTGGGTGCGGCGACCTAGAGGGTAATTAAGTCTGCCCTCACCGAGAGAAGGAATAGCCCGGAGGGGCACGTCTAATGCCCAGCGCAGAGATACGGAACCCGACCGGAACACAAGAGTCCAGGGCCTGCCGCAATGGGGAGGTCGGGGACAGACTCACTCATAACACTCATTCCGGACGGACTCTGTGAAATGCATATTTCTACAACACCATGGGGACTTTCAATGCCCCGGTTTCTCTCCCACTTCAGTGTCGTATTTCTCTTATTATTAAGGACTTCTATGGCCACTTTCTCCCCGTCGATATGTGAACGAGGACCCCGGCGGAACCAATGGGAAATAGGAGTCACCGGCCGGCGGACGGTACAGACGGACACACACGCGTGCGATTGGACTGCAGGCAGGGCTGCTGTGGACAGGGTCGCAAAACTTCATCTTAAAACGTTAAAGTGTGAATGTCAGATTGATTAAAATTGATATTTTGTTACACTTTGTAAATATTAATTTGGAAAAAGAACATTTACTTTTATTTTTTTTAATAATGAATATTTATCAATGATGATTATTAGTTACAAATGTGTAATTAAAGAGAAACGATTATAAGCCTATTAGTAATACTGGGTAGACATCACATTCACAAAACAAAACAGCTTCCTCTCGCTTTGATGCCGACAATGTGGAAATGCCCTATTATTTGAGCTTAATTTAAAACGTGAAAAATAACACGGCCAAAAAAAAAAACACAACTGGTGTATGTACAAATTGTAGCCTATCGTGTTCCGATTTGTAA